GGCTAGGCTAGGGTAATCCAATTTAAACTCAAACTCCAAGTTACCTACTCCTAATGGTAACACAACTCTTACTTAAGATAAGATAAGATAAGGATAATGATAAGGGATGAGGAATGGTGTAGCTGGCGGCGAGCTGATGTGGTAAGATAAGTGTGGGCCCACCCTGATGAGCTGTCATGTGGGCCCTGCTCTACTACTATTGCCAGGCGGTGCGTGCGTCTCGCAGTGCTGCTGCCATGAGGTGCGTGCTGCTGTCATGCGGTGCGTGCTGCTGCCGTGCGGTGCGTGCTGCTGCCTAGTGCTGTTGCCGTGCGGTGCGTGCTGCGCGCTGCCAGGCGGTGCATGCTACGCGCTGTCGGGCAGTGCGTCTGCGAGCTGCCAGGCGGTGCGTGCTGCGCACTGCCGGGCGGTGCGTTGTCGGGCTGCTATGCAGCGCTGCCGGGTGGTGCATGCTATTGGGCGGCCCGCTGTATGTGTTGCTGCCTATGACTGTGCTACAGTGCGCTGCCGGGTGGTGTGCCCATAACACTTAGGTAATATCATGCTTGCCTACAAGGCCTAAAGACTAAAAGAAAGTGCAAATGCTTGTATATGGCTATTAAATTGGACATTCAGGGGGCTTATGACGATTTGGAATGGGAGTTTACCTTGCCTATTCTCTAGCAGATGGGGTTTAGTGATCACTGGCTATAACTCATTTCCAGTTGCCTATCTTTGTCCACTTTTCCCTCTTACGGAATGGCACCCAATAGGGTTCTTTCTAGTGTTCGAAAGGCATAAGGCAAGGATACCCCCTCTCGCCTTGTTTCTTTATCGATAGTGTAATATTCTTCAAGTGTTTAGTGCTTGCCTTGGGCAGAGAATAAATCTCCAAAAGTCTAGGGTCTTCTTTAGAGCTGGTGCATAGCAGAATCTCCATTTGGTAGCAACTTTCACTTAGGCCCTGTTTGATGATTAAGTATTAAAAGAAGTATTTCTAAGAAATACTTATTTTAACAACCACTTAATAATGTTTGGTAATCCACTTTTCAAATCACTTATTATGTTTTTAAGCACTTATTGGGGTGAGAATGTTTGGTAAGCTACTTTCCCCATAAGTGCTTATATTGACACAAATGACAATTTTATCCCTCACTTCACTCATACACAAATGACAATTTTCACATGTTATATATACATTTCAACTGCATGTGGATCCAATTAAAAATAATAATAATAATAATAATAATAATAATAATAATAATAATAATAATAATAATAAATAACTAATCATACTAGGGGAAGACGACAGAGAACAAGCCTCCAAGCTGATGCAACCCAATGATCCAATTGGGTTTCTTTAGATTATCAATGACCGGCTCAACCCAATGATCCAATTCTCAATACTAGATCTCTACACCTTCCACAGTTTTCCGGGAACCATGTTCACCCATTCCAGAGACTCTTTTCTTTGTAAATCCTTCTCGAGGAACAAAGAAAAGCTTGTAGGCACCTGTGACCAAATACCCGTCCAAGCATCAAGGCTCTGTTTATTTCTCTTCTTTAATGTCTACAGCTTATCAAAGACAACCCCAACAAAGAAAAAGAAGACAAAAAAAACCCACCACATTCTTGTTGATTGGAGGAGAGGGAATGGGGTGGATTACTCCTAGCTGAGTCCTAAGTTTATCGACCATAGGATATTCCTGGAAGCTAGTAAAACTCGACGCCATTTGAATATGCTCCAGAACAAGTTCTCCATGGTCCAATTCATCTACAATTCGCTTAGCAACAAAGACTTTTGTGCCCAACCTTGCTGAAGTGCAAAACTCAACTCTCTACAAATCCATCTTCTTCGAGAAACCTTACTGGAGACAATTCCAAGAAATAATTTTTTCCCAAATCACCCAATTAACTGGGAATCCTTACATTTCCACCTCAACTCCTAACCCCAATTCAATCAATCTTATGAGGATAAACAGAAGGCGAAACCCAAACAAGACGCGAGACAACCTAGTTCGCAGAAGCAGATTGCAAGATCATTTAAACCGTTGAAATTCAGATACCCCCAAAAGGGGCTCTGCAATTCATACGAAGTAAACAGGTAAACATGAATCCAAAGCCAAATTGATTGGCAAGTAAGCTCCCGAATCCAAGCAACAGAAGCTAACAAACCTAGAATCCAAAGCCGCCACTAATCTGGATAGCTTACCTTAACCCGAAGCTAACAAGCCAGATTGATTGGCCTTCATCGTAAGAGGAACTTACAAAGAGGGGCCAAGATTTGGCGACTACAAGAAAAGAAAGAAGAAAGGTTTCCAATGGCAGACTTGGTCGGCAGGAAAATGAGATAGATGAAGGGACAGGGCAAGGAAGGGAGGGGTGGAAGGAAGATGACAAAGTTGAAGCCGTGAAGCATCAGATTGGGAAGTGGGGACAAGTCAGGGAAGTAGATGATGAATAGTGATTCTTGGGCACGGGGTATTTTAGGCTTTATAGAAAATTATCAGAGATTGGTTCGTCCTATTTTTTTGGAGTACTTAAAAAAAGCCAATTTGAAGTCACTTTTTCAAAAAAGTACTTTAAATGAAGTACTTCTTTTCCACTTCTTTACCAAACACCCATAAGTACTTAAAAATCACTTAATGTGTGGTTTCCATGTCTTAAGAGAAGTACTTGTTAAAAGAAGTACTTCTTTTAAGTGTTCTTAAACAGGGCCTTAATCTGGTTAGTAAGGAAACTCTTATTTCGGTAGTGACTTCGGTGATCCCAACTCACAATACGTCCCACTTCAAGCTTCTATAGTTATGTATTGATCTAGATAGAATGCCAACATTTTTGGGACTAGAAAGATGGAAGACCCGAGTTTCATTAGACTTCATGGAGTTCCTTGAGCCGGGCTAAATCCCAAGGCAGGTTGTGCTTCGAAGAGATGTATCTCTTTAGTCAAGCTATATTCTTCCTTTACAATGAGAAAAGTCTAGAGTAGGGTATCAAAAGATAAATATTGTCCCTCCTTGCTTGGCCTAAAGCATTGGTTGATTGCTAAGCTTCTTAGGGGTGGAAGGCCTTGTGTTTGGTTTAAGTTACTTAGTAGGCGAATCCTTTGGCGAGTTGGCAATGGGAAAAGCAATCAACATCCGAGAGGACGCATGTGTTCCTCCTCTCCCCAACTATTGAATTTCTTCCTTGCAATATAGTGATAATAATCAACATCCGAGAGGACCCATTGATTCGCCTGATACGCCCCTATCAGCACATATCGATATTTTGAACCTTATTTTTTGTTAGAGGAAATCTTGAGTTGTGTGGCTCTACCAAATAAGTTTGCAGGCCACTCAAATGGTCATGGACTAGGTGAACGGTCTTGGTATCTAAAGAATTTTAATCCTCTCTTATGCCAAGGTGGTGGTTCGACACCTACTTTCTAAAAGATTGCCTTACAATCCTTTTGGGGTTGTTGTCGACGATATTGACATGCAACTCAACACATATACAGATCGCAGCAGCTGCCCCTTTATTTACTCTAATCTTGCCTTTTCTGTACAAACCAGCCTCACTAGTAATTGTATGGGTATTTTAAACATTTTCAGGCTTCTTTTTAAAAGATTCTAATAGAGGAGTTCTACTTGCAACTTACCCTTACAAACTTTAAAGTTCAGGGGAGGTCCTTGCAATTAGCAAATTTTAAGGGTGGTTTTAGGAAGGGTCCAAACTTTAGGAGAGGTTCCTTACAGAAATGTTGATCCCATTAACATTGCACATGGAAGCTCACACTGGTGTTCCCAATTTACGGGGTGTAGTGTATTGTGGGTAGGCGTGGGCAGGGTTCTCGTGAGCAGGAGATCCGGAGTTGATATTTAATTGGCCAAAAAATTTTCAATCCACAAAGTTGGCAATGAACAAACTCTGTTTCTCCAACACCAAACTTCTCTCTCTCTCTCTGGAGATCAAAGCTGCTCCGTTTTTGTTGATTTTAATCTTATTAGAGAATAAATCCAGTGGGTGTTTAACTGGCTAATTAATTACATAATAAAGCACATCTATACATGTACTTTGATAAATGGTTTTAAAGTTCCCAATATGATAGGAAGTTTATTAAGATGTGCAGAGTGGAGAATATATGAGCTAGACTTGTTTTGGAAGACTTCGGATCTCCTGTCCACGAGAACCCTGCCCACAATATACTATCCCCGTGAATTGGGAACATCTCCCCCTGCATAATACTATGCAGAGGATGAGATGTTCTCCATGTGTGGCTGTGATAAATGTGGGCAGGGTTCTCGTGGGCAGGAGATCTGGACTCGTTTTGGAAGACTCCGGATCTCCTGCCCACAATACACTACCCCCATGAATTGGAAACATCTTCCCTTGCATAATACTATGCAGAGGATGAAATGTTCTCCATGTATGACTGTAATAAACGTGGGCAGATTTCTAGTGGGCAGGAGATCTGGACTCTGGAATATCATTGATATATAGATAGAACAGAGTGCCTGAATGGATTCCATCACTGGAGGGGCTGAATTAGATACGTTATAGAACCTTGTTCAAATGAAATCGTTGGGCTCCATCTTTTTCTACTTCTCAATTTCACAGTTTACAAATAAAGAGCCAAGAAGGCGACGTATTGTTGCCATGTGCTAACATCTTACTTCTGTTTTTTATCATACTGTCAACATCTTTCTCAAGATTTTAACATCACCTCTAATAATTTCTCCCCTCTCAGCTGTAATAAGCGATTTCTGAATCTCCTCACAGATATTTTGTTCTCATGTTATAATTGAAATTAAAAAGACAACCCACCTAACCTTCAGTGAAAAAATTCTCGAGTAATCCTTCACTAAATATGTTACGATGCTAATTAAAATATCCTTAGCTTTCTCAAACAAATCTTTGATGCGGAAAATGTTGAAGACGTTTTTATGTTCTAAGAGAACCCAGTATATAATAAAATCAAAAGACAACAATAAGAGAAGAGTTGCATAGAAAATGAATGAGAATAGAGTTTATTTGCGCACCTCACTTTATTACTTATAATAATGCAGGGACTCTTTCACCACCTCTCTCTCTGTTTCTCTGATGCTCAAGCTCTGCACTTTCTCCAGGTCTCAAAACCTAAAACAGTGAAGTTTTGGGCTAAGGTAAACGATTCACATAAAATAAGATCACAATGATTTCATGTGATCCTATTCAACCCTTAGTCTGTGTTTGGTTTGATAAAAAACAAGAGAGAAGTGGAGAGTTGAGGGAACCTTTTTTAAATAGTTTCTAGAATGTAATTTGCCCTCAACTTTCTTTTCTCTCTCGTGAAACCAAACACAGTATAACTAAAAACTTTAGTTTCTTTGTCCAAACAAAGCCAAAAGTCAAGCACCCAAGTTTGAAATTAATGACCATTGAAGTTGCACCTGACAAGACGGGTTAGGTTTTGATGTTTTATACCAGCCATTAATGGTCCTTCTCTCCCTTCTGAAAGTGAATTAAAATACACCATACTGTGGAAGTTTTCCAATCTTATATCTCCTATAAAAACATATACTTGTATTGTCAAAACATCTGAAATCTCGTTACATTAATTTTGAGATTCAGTAGTTTCTTAATAACATCTAGTTTGTTCTTCTATAGTATCAATTTTGCAAAAGGTAAAGCTCCCCTATTTTTTAGTTATCTATTTTGTATGTCATTTTACAGTTGCTCTTGAATAAAATATAAAAATAAAACACAAAACTTAATCGATTCATTTTTTATGGAAAAATTCAAGATCAGTATCTGTATTTTTGGTTCGAATGATAATTTGGTCCCTGAATTTTAAATAGATCGGTACCTGGCGTTAATACACCATCAGTCAGGACCTTCACCTGAGATCAGGTGCATTTTAGATAATTTTACAATGCCAAAACTAACCTTTATAATGATATTCAGACTATTTTATCTTTTTCTTTTCGTTGTTATCCCCGTCGGTGCTGATAATCACGACACATTCTATTTTAGTGTTCTGCCATTAGTATATAGAGCATCTGCCTGCCACGGTTGGGGCCATCTCCACAACGGCCGGGGCCACAAATTGAAGCGATCTGCATGGCCTTTCACTCGATCGAGAAGGAAATTGATGAAGGATGATTTGGCCCGACCTACGAAACGGTGACACGTGGACCTGATTCAGCACGAGTAACAGCTCAACTTCATGGCCTATTACGACCAAGTAATGAGCCCATAAAGCAGCTCGCCACATCATAGCTCATAAAGAAGGAGCACGCCACAACGCGAGCTCCGGGTTCCCTGAGCTACCCCGAAGGGGATATTCCGAGGTAACTTTAGCTCGCGAGATAGGGAAACCAGCTTGCCCAGGCCCCCAAAAAGATAAGCCGTCCCGGGGACCAATTCTACTAAGGGTAACCCTGAGGTATTCCCAAGCTCGCTACAAAGTGGTTCGCAAGTGCACAACATGAGCGTTCCTTAGGAAGTTTCTATCTGACAGACCGTACTGATCAGACTGCGCCAAGTCCCTTAATTGACAGTGCAGTCCCTGTCCTTTCGATAGTCTGTGCCCACGTCTCTCAGCTGGTGGAGGCGTGCCTGCCCCTTGGAAACGTGTCACTCATCCAGTCAAAAGTACGTTGCAACAACCACCTGCACAGCCCTGGCAGGTAACGGCTGTGGCAGGGGTCCAGTGGTTGTTATGCCCGATCTAACAAGAAAACCCCTATAAAAGCCCTCAAGGCAGAGGGGAAAAGGGATCTTCAGACTTTGGAACACTTTAACATTCTCATACTCTAAACTGTACACATCTTTGCTCGCGAGTTAATGTCTTGAGCACAGTGATAAAGCGCGACCTACACTCTTAGCTTTAGCACTCTTATTTTCTCCTACCCCTGTGTTCTAACTTAAGCATCGAAGTATTCCCACCGGGTAAATCCCTGGGAATCCTTCTTTTCTGCCTTCTCAGGTGTCGTCCATCGCCAACAAGGAGCCAGTCAGTAGACAGCTAGGAGTGCCCAGATCGTGCCACATCATTTGGCACCGTCTGTGGGATTCGCTTCTAAAAGCCTCCCTTTAAACTTTCATAGTTCCTTCTTTTCTGAAAACTTAGCACCCATGGCTTCTTCAAGCAATGCTGGACGTAGCATGGAGATGGACATCGCTAGGGAACAGCTCCAGGCCCCCGTGGTCTGCATTGGGCAATTCACCATTCCCCTTTCAGTGGATGGAGTCCCTGTCCTGAACGTGCCATGAGTAGTGGTGCTTGTGAGTGTTCCCCTTCCCCCTTCTATTGAGACAACCTTTGCTGAACCAACTGTTGTCCCTCCGACGACAAGCCAGAGCCAATTTGACAACCTGGTACAGTTCATGCGGGCCATGCAAGCCCAGATGCAGCAGTTTCAGCAGTTCCAACTCTACCAGCAGCAAGTGCTGCACAAAGTATCTTAGTATCACTATCAGCAGCCTCAGCCTCAACTGCCTCAGCCTCAGCCTCAGCTCCCTCCTCGACACCCAGCCTCACGGCAAGCTAGGTCTCGCCACCAGGATGAATGCCCTTCTCGCCAAGAAGGAGCTTCCCAGAACCCCCCTAAGAGCCAAGCCTCCTCCCACGGCAGAAAGGAAAGACCAGCCACTCCGGTCTCGCCACGGGCGGTCAGGTCAGGAGGACCCCAACTCACCAGGTCTACATCACCCTAGCAATCAAAGTTCGAAGCCCCACTTTTGGAGAACCGGTTCGAGATCCTAGCTGCAGACTCTAAGCAAAACCCCTCTGTCCGCAGCCATCACCAGCAGCCCGAGCTGCTTCCTGCGCAAACTATTCCTGACAGTACGGAGGTGAGCAGCACCAATGCGGAGCCCGCCAAGAAGCAAAGACGCCACCACCGAGCTCGCCGAACTACCTCCCACAACCTGCCCGAGCTCAGAGGTAGGGAAGAGGTAAGCTCGGGTGAAGTTAAATCTCCCCTCCTTTCTGTTCCATCCCCCCTGTCTCCCGAGCTCCTGGTTGTTCCAATGCCCAAGGACTTCAAGCTCCCCCCTCTCGACAAGTATGACGGGTCATTCGACCCAAATGATCATGTAGACGCTTTCCAATCACAGATGCACCTGGCCAGGGCCAATGAGTTTTGCATGTGTGTGGCCTTCTCCACCACTTTCAGAGGAGCGGCCCGCACGTGGTATCAGAACCTTGCACCCGGATCTATAAGAAGTTGGGCACAGTTCGCGCAAGCTTTCACGTCCCACTTCGTCACCAGCAAGCGGTGCCCGCGAACGGAGGAAAGCCTTCTCAGCATAATCTAGAGAAAGGGAGAGTCCATCTGGGGCTATACCAAGTGGTTCAATGATGCATGCATGCAGATACTATGCCCGGATCCCGCAGTGTGTCTCGCAGCAGCCAAGAAGGGCGTGACGCACAAAGAATTCAAGTGGCACATGGTTGTCAACCAGCCGGCGACCATAACTAAATTCCTCAAGCTTGCGGACAGGTTCATAGCCACAGAAGAAGAGATCAACCAGAAGGGCGAAAGCGCACCCGAGAAGAGAAAGAGAGAAGGAGAACCTTCCAACCAAGGGAACAGCCGAAAGAAGAAGGATGTAGCTCGGGGGGCAAAGCTAGGTCAACCGTTCCGAGCTCCTGTAGCGGACCAAACTGATTACACCTCACTGAACGCGAAGCGGACCGAAATCCTGATGGCCATCAAGAATGCCCCGTACGTGAAATGGCCGCCCCGCTTGAGGGGGAATCCCAATGAAAGAAATAAAAATTTGTATTGTAGTTTTCATAGAGACCATGGTCATAGCACCGAGAACTGTAAGAATCTCTGCGACGAGATAGAGGAACTCATTCATCGCGGATATCTAAGAAATTTTGTAGAGAATAACAATAATAATAATAATAAAGCAGGTCGGCAAGGGGAGCACGGTAAGGATGCTCCCGAGTCCAGCAGCAGGCCAATAGAGCAGTCATAGAGGCAGCCTCCGGAAGAGAGGCCAGTTCGGGGCACCATCCACATGATAGTTGGAGGTTCAGTCGTTGCAGGCTGTACCTCGGCGGCAGCTCGGACGTCAATTCGCGACACTACCAGGGAAGAACAAAATCCTCCGAAATGGCCAAAGACAGAGGAATCGGTCTTCTTCATGGAGGACGATGCACGCGGGATCCACTACCCCCACGATGACGCGCTTGTCATAAAAGTAAGGATCAATGATTTCGAAGTCAGGCGCGTCCTTGTTGACTTGGCTAGCTCGGCGGATATCCTCTTCAAAGCCGCGTTCGACCAGCTTTAGTTGCAAGGAAGTGACTTGAGGCCCGCTAATACTCCCTTGGTGGGCTTCAGCGAAGAAGAAGTCAGGCCCCTTAGGAAAATAACAGTACCTATGGAAGTCGGCACATGGCCCAGCGTAGTCAGACTCAACCATGACTACTTTGTGGTCGCGACCCCCTCACCGTACAACGCCATAATAGGCCGGCCGATCACCCATGTCCTACGGGCGGTGGTCTCCACTTATCATTTGCCAATGAAGTTCCCTATAGACTTCGGAGTAGGGGTAGCGCGGGGCGACCAACTTGAGTCTTGCAAGTGCTATGTTGCCGCCCTCAAGGGAAAGACCAAGGTGGCTGACGACCTCGAACTGGAGCGGCCTACGGAGCATGGTGAAGAACGAGGTGCACCCACGGAAGAAACAGTTGTTGTTCTGACTTCAGCAGCAGATCCAGCTCGGACACTTCAGATCGGTGCTTCCGTCTAGGAACCCCTGCGATCCGAACTAGTAAGTTTCCTACTTCAAAACTTAGATGTTTTTGCATGGTCCGCGGCAGAGATGCCCGGTATAAACCCTAGTCTTATAACTCACAAGCTCAATATTGATCCTGTAGTTAGGCCTATTAGACAGAGGAAATGCAACCTAGCCCCGGAGCGATGGAAAGCAGTCGACGAGGAGGTTGCGAAGCTCCTCGCAGCCGACTTCATAAGAGAAGTCCATTACCCGAGCTGGGTAGTCAACCCCATTCTAGTAAAGAAGGCTAATGGCAAGTGGCGCATGTGTGTCGACTACACCGACCTAAACCGAGCCTGCCCAAAAGGCTGTTTCCCACTCCCCAAAATCGACCGCTTAGTGGATGCGACCTCGGGGCAC